TTTTTTCACTTCAAAGATGTTTTAATAAATATTAATTATTTAATTTATTAATTTCGAATAACGATGATGATGATAATATTGATACTTATTTCAATCCGTTTTCAATAAGAGATTAAATCAAATCGGTTAATAAAAAACCGTTTTAAGAAATTTTTAAATGGAAATTTGGCGGTTTTTTTTTTTTTTTTTTTTTTTTTTTTACCGCCCGATTGGACAAGTGGGTTTATAGTGTAATTTTTTTTTTTTTTTTTATTGAAAAAATTTTAATTATAAAAATCGGCAAAGTGGTGTGTGGGTGTGTAACGGTTGACTGGATTTGATATGGTTGATATACGAAGTTAAAGACGTAACAAGACAAGAAAGTTATAATAATAATAATAATTGAACGTTGTTAATAAATAATGTTACGTAGGAAATGAGACGATGTAATAAAAAAAAAGTTAAAGAAAAACATGATTTTTTTACTCAAAGTCGACGTTTTGTTATTGTCAATGCCGACTTTTAATTTAATTTAAAAGAGAGAGAGAGAGAGAGAAAATTTTTTTCTTACATATTAAAACCATTAATTGAGATTAAATAATAGTAATAATAATAATATTTCTGTCACGATAATTAACAGGTTATATTAATTTGCGATACGTATGCGTATTCATTTGTTTTTTTTTTAAACGGCGGAAATTAATATGTTGCGAAATTATGTTTAATAATAATATTAGGAAAGGGAAAAGGACGTTTGTGTTGTGGGGGTCGATTAACCGACACAACAAAAAATACACATAAAAAGTTTTTTTTTTTAAATTAAATTTCTTAAATAACCTTAAAAACCAAGTTTTGAATGTTTTCTCTCACGTTTATTAAATTATAATTAAATTTTTTTTTTTTTAATATCGATGCAAAAACGTAGTAAAAATATATTATTGTTACTCTTAAATAATTTTTTGTATTATCATATAAACAAATTACCAAAAAAAAAAAAGGGGGGGAGGGCGAAACAATTTTTTTTTCGGGTTGTCCATATGAAGTGCTCGAAGATAAAAAAAAAAAAAAAAAAGACGTGATGATGAAATTGTAGCCCCCGGAAACCTTACAAAACCAAAATTTTGTTACTCCACAATATCTTATATTTCCCAATAAGTTTTCCAACTTTATATCGTGACTTGGCCTATTAAAAAAAAAAAAAAAAAACAGCCTATTAGAAAATATTAATAAAATAATTATTGTTTTGTTGTTTTTTTTTTTTTTTTTTCAAAACGTTTTTCCTTTAAATAAAAACATTTTCTTATTTTTTTTTTTTTATCATTTCTTGACACAAAAAATTCTTTGTTTATTTTTCTGTTTTCAATAGAATGAAATGAAAAAATAATAATAATAATAATAATAATAATAATAATAATAATTTATGTAATGGCTGATTATATCGAGGGATGAGATATAGAAAATTTCGTGGAAAAATGTTTTTGTTGTTGTTGTTGTTGAGATTTTTTTTTTTTATATTATTTTAAAATACTAAAAAATTATTTGGTTTCTGTGTTTCCACTTTAAAATAACAAAAAAAAAAAAAGGGAATGGAATAAATTTGCAAAACAAACACGATAATAATACAGAGACATAATGTTTAAAACAGGTTATTAATAATAATAATAAAAACATGGCAGGAAAATGACAATGAAACTATTTCACTTTTTCGTTTTTTTTTTTTTTTTTTTTTTTTTTTTTAAATGAGCAAATCGGTATAACCATTGATTTTTTTTTTTTAAAAGTTGACATAATCGCGTAAAAACCCGAAAATCCTGGTTTACTTGATTTTTATAATAAAAATTATTCAAAAAATATAAATCACTATTAAAAAAACAAACGACGACGAAGACGAGAAATAAAACTAGAAAACTGTTGAAAATTCATATTTCGATGTCAAAACGATACGATAATTTTATTATTTTATTAAATGTTATTTATTTTTCATTTTATTATGTTTCGGATATTGAAATTTATTAACCGCAGCAAAAAAAAAAAAAAATTTGATTTTGTATTTTTTTTTTTTTTAAACATTTTCCTTCATTCAAAATTTAAATTACATTTTCCAATTTATGTAAATGCGATTTGTTTTCATTTTTTTTTTTTTTTACCAATTATCATTCTCTCTCTCTCTCTCTCACATACACACCCACACATTTCAATGAAAAGTGTTTGTTTTTATAATTTCACAAAAAAAAAACGTTTTGTAATATAGATTGATGTTTTCTCAACAAAAAATAAAAAAATTTTTTTTTGTATACTGAGTAATAATAATAATACATAATCGTGAAAATGGTCATAAAAAAAAAGTTTACCCCTCATCATCATCATCATCATCAGTTTTCTTATTATTTTGATTTGAAATTATTTTAACTTGACATTTAACTCCATTAATGGTTTTTGAAAGTTTTTTTTTTTTTTTTAATTTGCATTCGAAATAATTAACTAAAATAATGATTTGATCTGAATTATGAAACAGTAAAAATAAGAAAACTTTTTTTTTTTTAATTACCGGCGGCCATGTTTGTCATTGACTAGTGAAAAAAAAAAAAAAAATTTTTTTATATTTTTAATTGATGTTTGAGTCGATAAATGACCGTTTTAAACTTTTTTTCTTTTTTTCTTTTTTTTTAAGAAAAATTAATTTTTTTTAAACGTTTAATTAAAAATTAAATATACTCTCGAAATGATATAGTAAAAAAAAAAATTTTTCCCAACATTAAATTACACATATTAATTTTAATAAAAACAAAAATAAAAATTGTCCTGATATATAATAATAATAATAAACTGTTGGAAAAACAAAAGAAAAAGAAAAAATTTTCCCTTTTAATTAAATGCGATTAAGGTCCTCATTTATGAAAATTTAAAGAAAATTTTTTTTTTGTTAAAGTAAATTAAACGATCGATAAAAATTATTATTAATAAATAATCAATTATTTGTCATAAAATATATTGTTTTTTTTTTTTTTGCGACACACGAGTAAATTTATTATTTAATTAAATCACTCACGTGGGAAAATTATATATACACGTGAAATTGAGCGAGTGTCAAAAAAAAAAAAAAATTGTTTTTAAAATCTTCTCCGTATTTTTATTATTTCTTAATAAATTTTTTTTTTTTCTCATAATTCTCATAGTTTTATATATAATTTATGTTGAATCCTTAGACGGTTGTTATAAAAAGACAAAAAAAAAAAAAAAAAGTTGACTTTTTAAAAAAAAAAAAAATTTAAACTTGCGAAAACTGACCAGGATTGGTCAAGTTGGCGAACAGGTTGAATGTGATACTAAATTTTAATAAAATTTTTTTTTTTTTTTTTTTAAATAATTTTAGTAAAAAAAAGAAATAAATTCCTAACATTAAAACTATATATTTGTGCCCTTTTTGTAATAATTAAATAATAAAAACTTTTTTTAACTCGATTATTTTTAAGGGAATTTGAAAAAAACAAATGTCGCGTTTTGTATATATTTATTAAATTAAAAATTTATTATTATTATTATAAATTTTTGTACACGCCCCACTGTGCCATTTTCATATAAATACTCAATATTTTGGTGAAAAATATCATACACTCGCCGTTAATCCAAACAATCCGAGTAACTTTTAAATTTTCTTTTAAAAAAGACCAAAAACAAACTTCATCATGAAAGTTTTCGTAAGTATATACATGTAATTTTTTTATAATGTAATTTTTTTTACGCTGTGGAAAATTCAAAAAAAAAAAAAGAAATTTTATTTATTAATTTTCATATCGCAGGCTTGCGTTTTGTTTGCTTTGATTGCTTTCGCTTCCGCCGAAGAAGGCGAAAAAAAAATTGAAAAGAGAGGAGTTCTCGGAGGATATGGAGGATACAGTTTGGGTGGATTAGGACACGGAGGATACAGTTTGGGTGGATTAGGACACGGAGGATACAGTTTGGGTGGATTAGGACACGGAGGATACAGTTTGGGTGGATTGGGACACGGAGGATACGGAAGTTTCGGAAGCTACGGAGGACTTGGAGGTTTGAGCTCCGGATACGGAGTCGGAGTAAGTAAAAAATTTAATAATATACCTTCTCCCCCCCCTACCTTATTTAAATCGCTTCGAATCGGATTAAAAAATTTTTTTTTTTTTTTAAACTTACAGCTTCACGCCGTTGCTGCTCCAGCTGTTGCCGTTGCTACTCCAGCTGTTGCCGTTGCTACTCCAGCTGTTTCTGTTGCTAGAGTTGCCGTTCCAACTGCTTCCGTTGTTGTCGGAGGTGGTCATGGAGGATTCGGATACGGTGGAGGATTCGGATACGGCGGTGGATTCGGTTACGGCAGTGGATTGGGATACGGTCACAGAAAATACTGGTAATCAGATTCTTCACTTTGTCATGTCATCAACAGCAATCAGATAATTCATAATAATTAAGGCTCCGTCCGATTCACACACGCACGCACATTATTCACCATTAAAAAAAAAAAAAAACCAATTCTAGTTATAATCAATTTTCAATTTTTAAAATAAACCAAACCATGTTGTTCAAAAAAAATTTAGGATTTAAGTTTTGTAAAATTTTTCAATAATAAAAGTTTTTATATATTTTTTTTTCTTTATAAAAAAAAAAACTTTTTTATAATTTATTTTTATAAAAAATATTACCTAAAAAAATTATCCATTTTTTTAAATTTCAATTTACAAGTTTATATATATATATATAAGAAAGAGAATAAAATGCTACAGCACGAGTGCAAATATCAACAAGTGTTTTTGTTTACTGCGTCCCCCCCCCCTATAATAAATTTGTTATAAAATTCACTGAGAAAAAAAAAACTTATAAATTTTTTATTGAATTACGTATAAGTAAATTCATTGTTTTACTCCTATAAATAGTCAATTAACTTTATTCGAATAAAATATTAATAATTTTTTTCTAAAAAAACTTTTACTCAAAAGTATTTTGAATCGTTTGCTTAAAAAAAATGAGCGGCGAATATTTTACGAAGGGGAAAAAAAAATTACATAATATTTACAATACATTATACGTCAAAATAATGCTCGAGGGAGGGAAAATTAAATATTAATGCAACTCGATTTTGTGGAAATGAAATTTGAAAAAAAAAAAAAAAAAAAAAAAAATTAATAAAATACTACTTTTCGAGAAGGTATCGAATATACAAAGATGTAATGTGTCATCAACGTGTCATGAGTAAAAATCGGGTTTAAAGAGAAAATAATAAAAAAGTAAAAAATCTTATAGACTGTTGAACTTTACAAAAATATAAGAAAAAGAAGAAAATTTGTCAAGGCGTTTTTCCTCCCTCCCTTCCTTCAAATTTAAAAGCCCCTCCCCTTTCTCTCATCTCCTCCTCCTCCTCCTATCCAATACTTGATCATCATTTTTCCCAGGATGTAAGTAAATTTAAATCTCCCCGATTTTATTTATTTTTGTATATATATATATATATATATATATATATATATATATATATATATATATATATATATATATATATAGTATAATTAATTTTCGATTAATTATTAAAAACACGTGTAGAACTAGTTGTATAAATGGTTCGTTATTGTTGCATAACATTTAAAAAGCTGTAAATCAACAAAAACGGTGAAAGGTTGTCGATCGAGTTAATCACCTGATAAAGTTGTTTTCCTAGACACTCAGACTCCTACCCTTGATTTATAAAAAAAAATAATTATCCGTTTTTGTTATTATTATTATTATTAAAATAATAAGTTAAACTTAAATTAATCAAGTTTAAAAAAAATTACAGGGCAAAATGTTTTTGTTTATGCCATTTATAAAATGAAACGTTAAATAATTATTTTATCAATAAATAATTTAAAATCTATAACGAAAAACAAAATAATCGATATATTTGAAACATGAGTTTCATGTTATTTAAAAAATAAAATAAAAAAATTTTTTTTTTTTTTTTAATTCGTTAACTTTTTCAAAAATTCGTAACTGTAATCGTAAATAATCAACATTATGGCTCCTCCGGGACCGAGTCGCATTATTTTAGGTAAAAGCCCTTTATATAAAGCCCTCCATCTAGAAAAAAAAAAAACATTTATTTTTAATTTATTATCTATCATTCACCCTCGTTTGAAAATTAATCACAAATAATAATAAATGAAAGTCTTATCATTTTATACACGGACACACACACACACACTATTATGGTATTTAACGTTTAACTTTTAAATTTTAATTATTAAATAATTATTACGACGACAATACAATATATGTATATGTTTATTTTTTTTTCAATAAAATATATTTTTGTTAATTAGTTAATTGTTTTGTGCGGTAAAAGAAAATGAAAGAAGCGTTCTGATGACGTCCATCTTTTGGTATTAGTCGTCTTAAATCTAGTTCGGTGAATGTAACGATATATTTACCAATTAAGCGATTAACCTTTTAGTTTAAATCCGTCATGTTTACAACATTATAATATTCTTTGCAACGAGTGTATTCTGATTGTGATATCATAGCAATAATAGCAAACGCGAACGCGGAATAAAAAAAAAAACGTAAAGTTATGAACGGATAATCGAATCGAAGAGATCAAAACAATATATAAAAATAATTTCAATTTATACAACTTAATAAAATCGCATGTAATGAATGGAATTTTTTTTGACTCAAAAACCAATCGTCAAGTATTAGAAAAAAAAAAAAAAAAATTTATTCTTACCCTTCTTCTCGAGCAATAATTTGCATGGTCGGAATAAGTTTTTTATATTTTCCATCATTTTGAGGCGCTTGAATTCTCGATTTGGCCACATCGAATGGAATGTTAACACAAGATGCCAAAGATCCGGACGTAAATCCAATTAATAAATGTGCTAAAAAATTTTCAATTTTACCCTAAAAAAAAAAAAATACACGAGTATAATTAGTAATTATTTTATTACGTGATTGTCAAACAAAACCGATTTGCCCCCGCCTGTTTTATAAATTTTTTATTAAATGTTTAAAAAAAAAAACCTTTGTTAAAATGAATGAATAAATAATAGCATACATTGTTTTTTGGTAAAATATCTTTAACTGAATGGTAAAATCCAAAATAAACCATGTTAAAAATTCCATTTCGAGCAATCGTACCAGAGAGTCCTTTGTTTAAACCGTTTAATCCGAATCCGTTAGATTTGTAAATTTCTTTCGTCACATGCCAGGCACTAGGAACTTCCTAAAATTCATTTTTTATTAATAAATTCAAAAAAAAAAAAAAAACAAATTATTACACACATAATTGATAATATTTGATACGTAATTTATTTAATTGAAACCGAATTTTCCTTTTTAAAAACTTGAAAATTTCACCGATGAATTAATAAAATTCAAAATATTAATATACGTATATATATGATAAAAAATAATCTTACTTTACTTTTTGATTTATTAGACTGTAAATAAATTTTAACAACTTCGAAGGGATTGACAAAAACTGCTTCTGTTATACCTGAACATGCTCCAGCGAGTGAATATGTTAACGGAGTCGGATTTTCCGAACCGAATAAAAATAAATTTTTGTATTGCTGAAAAGTAAAAAACTGAAAAAAACAAACACACACAATTATCGTCAAATATAAATGATAAAAAAAAAATAATAATAAAAAAACTAATAAATTTTGCTTATTTATACGTTCATAATATAAAAACCCACTTTAATTGCCCTCTTGGGAGTTTCAGCCATTAGAGGCGGCAATATGCCTTTATAAAAAGACGAAATACCTTCGTATTTAGATATTTTAATTAAACAATCTATGATTCCATTGTAACGATATTTTGAATCATTTCCATTAGGTAAAATTATTGAAGTTTTATTTGATTGAATTTGAATTCGTGTTTTTATCAAATCCAATGGATGCATAAAACAAACCTCGATGAAACCTGTAAAATAATATTTTTCTATGAATTTTTCCCTTTTTACAAAAAACAACAACAACAAATTTGTAATAAAAATCAAATCATTTTTATAATTAGAACTATTAATTTTTTTCTTCTTAATTAGAATAAAAATATGAAAAATAATTTAACATAAAAACGATTTGATTGCGAAAATAATTTTCTACTTGAAATGAAAAAAAAACAAAATGTCAATAAATACTTTGTGTGGATAAATTTTGAAATAAACATTTTCTTTATATTATTATTTCATTGGAAATTTTAAAATATCAATTTAATCATGCGGGGGGGAAAAAAAACAAAAAAACTCTTTTTTGGCACGGCGACAAATATTTTGTAATTTTATTCCAATGCCGTTGTTTTGTTGTAGTTTTTTTTTCTAAAACGAAAATAATAAATAATTTTAAAAGATTTTAAATTATAAATAATAATAATATTTTCATATTTTTCATTTTACGCAACGTGAAATTACAAAAAAAAAGAATGTAAAAGACTTTATGTATGTTTTAATTTTCTTTAAACATAAAATTAATTAATATTAAACAATTAAAAATGAATTTTATTACTTTTTGTTAATTTTTGACTTAATTCGAATCATTTAAAAAATCTTTTAATGTTTACGCGTTAATGAGTTAAATGAAATTTTAAAAAAACACTTTTTATCTCTATAAATTTGTGTGTATGAAAGTTTCCTAAAATATAAAAAAAATTTTTTTTTTTTTAAGAAAATCAGTTGTTTAATATTTTGGCGCTAAAAAAAATTTTTTTAAATCCGAGTACATATATTTGACGATAAATCCGATTTTCATTCTTCTACGTAAAAAAAAAACAAATCATACTTTTAAAAACTTATTTCTTCATGTTCGATATTAATACGATTTAAAATTTTACCATTTAAAACGACAGATGGAAATATGTTTTTCCGTTTTAATATTAGGAAAAGTATAAACTCAAACTTGGGTCAAGAAAGTTATAAAAAGAAAAAAAAAAATTACTAAAAAACTCTATCATCACAAAAACATTTTGCCTTAGAAATAAAATATGTACACGAATTTATATATTCACCTATACATATCTATACACACACGTGCGCGTTTAAACATATATATATATATGTATATATTAAAATACAAAATTATTATAATATAAATTATACTAATCACAACTAAACCAAAAAATTTTTTGACTCACCAGCAGATCCACCAGAGATAATTTGCAAAGCACCATCAATAAATTTGCTACGTGGTTTTTCCATTACTATTATATTTAAAAAAAAAAAAATAACTAGGTTCTTAATTAATAAAAGTTTAATTAAAAATTTTTCTTTTTACAATTAATGAGAGAGAAAAAAAAAAAAAAAACTCATTCACTTGATATACGTTTTATGTGTCCTTCAATAGCAGAAACTAAACTGATAACGTGTCATTAGATTCTATTATTTATTCCCGCCTATTGCTTTTATTAGTGTAAAATGTATTTTCCTGATGGCGAAGAAATCGAAGGAAATTTTGAGGGCGATTTCGATTTCATTGAGGTATGTTAATTGTATCACAGGGGTAGAATATTTTTCCCTATTTATTAAAAAATAATTATTACTTTTTAGAGCATTTACGGTTCCGTAAACAAGAGTAGAAATAGCAATGATAATAGAGATAAAAATCCAGTGGATTTGACTCTCGAATTAAAAGATCCTACGCCGAATATTCAAGATTTATTCGTTAGATTTGATAAAAAATTTTTTGATGGAGCACTCGGCATGGTTTTAGTGACTTGGAGTAAGAGAATGACCAGTTGTGCCGGAATGTGTTATTTTCAGGGTCGAGAAGGATTTTGTAGAATTGCTCTTAGTGCACCATTATTATCATTAAGACCCAGAAAAGATCTTGTCGAAACCTTATTAGTTAGTTATGAAATTTTTATATAAATTATTTTCATCTGATTAAGTGTTTTTGTGATAAGTAAAATTATTTATACTAATTTTTTCAGCATGAAATGATACATGCCTTTTTATTTGTCACCAATAACAACAAAGACAGAGAAGATCATGGAACTGAATTTCATAAACACATGTCTAGAATCAATCGTGAGGCTGGAACAAAAATAAGTGTAAGTTTTAAAAACTAAATTTTCATTGATAAAATTAATTTTCACATGAAAATGTTTTCATGGGTTCACAGATAAATAATGTTACATGCATTTGAAGAAAGTGAGTCATTAAAAGATAAAAACATTGATTAAATATAAATTGTATGGCACTTTTGTACTAAATCAATTATTTTCTAATTTCAATCAATAAATTAATAATACAGAGCATACTTAAAAAGACACACTTATATGAATGTTTTTTTTTTTTTAAATATATAATATTAGTATCCAATAATGCTTTTTCATTTCTGTAAGAAAATGTAGCATATATAAGGTTTAATTATTTACTAATTTAACTTATTTTAGTTAGTTAAATTTTCAATAATACATTAAATTTTTTTTTTTTTTAATTTAAAGGTTTATCATACATTTTTTGATGAAGTGGAATATTATAAACGTCATGTTTGGAGATGCAATGGTCCCTGTCAATACGAAAAACCATATTATGGCATTATTAAACGTTCAATGAACAGGGCTCCAGGAGCTCATGATTTTTGGTGGAATCGTCATAAAATTGAATGTGGAGGAACTTTTTTGAAAATTTCAGAACCAACTGTTAAAAAAAAGCAAATCGCTAACACAAAACGCAAAAAAGCAAAAATTGTGGGGAATGTAAAAACTATAACAAAATACTTTTCAAATAATGTATCAAAAGGTCAAGTGTCATCAAATTCTATTTTAACTAATAATAGTAGTGCGATTCACACTATGGTAACTCCATCCATCCTAAATCCTAAAAATAATACTCAAGAATTTAACAAAATTAGTTCTGAAACAACTGGAAAAATAAATGCAAAATCTTCCCTAGTGGAAAATTTAAAATATTCAAGTGCCGCAGATCATAATAATTTATTAATAGTTAAACATAGTGAATCATCAGCAACAGGAACCAATAATAAATGCAATTTATCTGTGCCAGTAAATTCAAATGAAATTTGTGATAAACATTGTAGTGAAAATGACTTAGTAGAAAGTAATTCAGTGAAAAATGTAGTTCGAAATGTATGGAGTAAAAAATTTTTATCAAATGCAGTCAATAAAGAATTAACAACGTCTCAAGCTAAACAAGTCACGACGTCAAAAGATGAGAAGAATGAAAAAGCTTCTTCATCTGATAAAACTCTTGATTCATTTGAGGGAAAAGAGTTTGGGGATGTAAAAAACATGCAAATCAATTGTATTGAAACAGAAGAATTTGAACAAGATAAAAAAAATTGTTCAGTCTGTGATAAAGGAATTTATTTGTTTGAAATGAAAAAGCATTTAGAAGAGTGTCCCGAATTTACATTTAACCAAGAGGCATGCATTCCATCAAATTCTCAAATGAGTGATGATTATGTAATTTGTCCGTGTTGTTATAAAAGAATTAATGAAAGTCTTATTAATAGTCACTTAGATTCATGTTTAACTTTGATTGCATTAAAAGAGGAAGAGGATGATTATGTATGACAAGAGGCATAACAAAATAATAATTTTAAATAAATTTAAAATATTTTTACACACACACACACACACTTCCTCCTTTAAAAGGAGTTGAAAAAAAAAATTAGAAAAATTGATTAAAGTCTTGTGAGTTTGTTATTAATTTAAAGTTATGTTATTATAATTCATTACTGAATTTAAGTTTGTTATAAATAAATTAATGTCAATTTTCAAATTTTGTATTCTTTTTTCAAATATCATTTTCTACCATCCTTTGTAAAGTGGAAAAAAAAAAAAAAAAAAAAAAAAAATTACTAAGGATTTTGTTTTATTTTTCAAATTGTAAAATTATTTACCTACATGTCTGTCTATGAAAATGTTCAATAGTAAAAAATTTCCAAATGTTTTGCACTAGTTATTCCCTCTAGTTTTTCCTTCAAACAATTATTGAAATTCTACAGCTCTTGATGTCTCATTGATTTAGAAAAACCTGACGTTTTCTAATGGATAACTGTTTTCATTGTAAAAGTCATTCTCTCGCAATTCATCTAAGCATCTCAATCATCTCATTATCACCCACTTTCCTTAACATACAAATGCTATTCGGAGACGTTTATTCGTGCCATCTCAAGTTTTTAATCAGATTAATTGACGAAAACCTTATTTTATTTCATTTACTTTTCTTCTACATTAGACTCTTCTAATAACATTTTCCTGTATTCTGGAATAAATTTTATTTTTGTAATTCCGAATGTCGATAGCTGTAACATTTGGCGAATCTTTTTGAATAAGAATGAGAAAAAATTTTTTCAAATCTACGCTGGGGTCTCACATTCAAAAAGTGACAAATAATAGCGAACAAATTTCATTAATATTTATTTTGATTATTAAAATAAAAATTTTAACTTTTAATTGTCAAAGATAAAATTTAAATATTTTTAACGTATAATCAATCGCTTTGACTTTTTTCATTTTTCATATACTGCAACGAACTTTGAGTATAATAAAAATTTTTTTTTTAAAATTTTTTAAAAAAATTTTTTGTTAATTTCTAATAATAAAAAATTTTTGGAATAATACGATTGATTAATATAAAAATAATACTTACCGATTTAAAATTAAATTAATTTTAAATTAATTTAAAAAAAAAAAAAGAAAAAAAATGACACAAGTTGTCGTTGTAAGTTTATTTTAAACTGTGTTTTGAAAAGAGCTCAATTAGGTTGGCAACTCTGTTGAAGTGGCACTAGTAAAAATTAATACTTTAACGATGAACCATCCGATTGCCCATGTGTTGATATTTGCTACTACTGGTTTTGAACGAGTAATATTCAATTAGAAAACATGTCATTTTTCATTAAAGGAAAATATAAAAAGGAAAACAAAAAATTTAAAAATATAATAAATAACAGTGAATCGAGTAATAAAAGCAACAACAAAAGGAAAAGACCAGACGAAGAAATAGATAGTGACTTAGAAGACGATTTAACTCTTCAAAATGATTATAAACATTCTTCGGATAGCGAAATCGAAGAAACTGTTCAAGAGAAACGACTTCGATTAGCTCATACTTACTTAAAAGAAATTGAATTAAAAGAAAAAGAGCGGTTGGAAACAGAAGATGTAGATAAAAATTTAATAGCGCAAAGATTGAAGGAAGATGTTCTAGAGAAATTCGGAAAGTTGCCGAAAAAGGTTGCTGCTCAATACTCTCACTGTGGCGATTATCTAGTTTTAAAATGTAAAGACCATTCAAGATCCATTACGTGTTTGACAGTTTCAAGTGATGATACGTACATTTATTCCGCTTCCGATGACTATAGTATAGTTAAGTGGTCTTTAAAAACCCGTAAAAAAATACTTACGGTTAAAAGAACAGATAAAAATGGACACAAAAAAAAAATATTGTCATTGGCTTTGACTAGTGATAATAAATATTTAGCCAGTGGAGGCCTTGAAGCTAAGGTTAATATATGGAATCCGGAAGATTTAACTCTTCTACATGTTTTTTCAGGGCATAAAATTGATGTTACAGGGTTGGTGTTTAGAAAAAATACACATCAGTTATTCAGGTGCTTATTTTTATTTTTATTTTTCATTTATACTTTATTTTAAGAAATATACGAATTAAATTAATTAATGTTTCGGTTGCAATCATATTGGTAAATTTTTAATCATTAAAAAGTTAATGTTTTTTTTTTTTTTTTTTTTTTTAATGCAATTATTTAGTTGCTCATCAGATAAAAGTATTAAACTGTGGAATTTAGATGAAATGTCTTATGTTGAAACTCTGTATGGGCATTCTAATGGAATAACTTCTATTGATGCATTAATTAGAGATCGAGCTGTAACTTCAGGTGGAAGAGATAACTCAATAAGGATATGGAAAGTTCCAGAAGAGTCACATTTAGTATTAAATGGTAATGTATACATAAAAAGCATGTGCATTATTTCATAAGTTATAACAATTTAAATGATTTTTAATGAGAACATTATTTCAATTAAGTTAGTCTCTAAAGGTAACAAGGTAGTATCATGCAGAAATTTTTTTTTTCTTATAGGTTGTCTAGAATCTATTGACTGCGTTAAACTTTTAAATGAAAATAATTGCATTTCGGGTGGAGACGGTGGAAATGTTTGCTTATGGTCAAATTTAAAAAAGAAACCAATTTTCACGTTAAAAGAAGCTCATGGGAAAGATATTCATAGTGATTCGCCTAATTGGATCGTTAGTTTAGCCACGTACACATATTCAGATTTTTTCGCCAGTGGAAGTTTCAACGGAATTATAAACTTTTACATGTGCGATGAAAAATTCAAATCCTTTAGTAAATGTTTTGAAACAAAAGTAGATGGTAATATTAATTGTATGGCATTCACGAATGATGGACGATATTTAATAGTTGGGATCGGACAAGAACATAGAATGGGTAGATGGCATAAAAAAAAAGAAGTGAAAAATTGTATTTTATTAATGCCTTTAATAAAAAAGAGTTAGTTTTATTACTAATGAAAAAAATTTAATTTAATATATTCTATGTTCATTTAAATAAACCTCGTTTTTATTTATTTGTCTGCCTGAATGTTTTATTTCATAATTTATTTGTAATAAAAAAAGCACCGTTTTAGTTAAAAATGATTCGACTGAAATTAAAAGATTTTAAAGATAAAAATATCAATCGTCAATATAACTTGCCATAATAAATAATTGTGGGAAAAGAAAGAAAAAAAGTGCATTAAATCTTATTCTATCGTTATAACGTTTTTTCCTTGGAAGAAAATTTGAAATCATAAAAACGATTTTTAAAAAATTCATTTTAACAAATTACTAAAACTAAAGTCGAGCCACAAAGAGAAAAATTTTTATATAGGATCGATCAATTCTCGGTATTTTGAACAATTGTTAATAATTATCACAATCAATCGTGAATCGAATAGGAAAAAAAAAAAAAATTTAATTGAGCAACAGAACATCTGTTTCTTAGACTAATCTTTAACTCTAAATTAACTCTTTTTTTTTTTTTTTTTGATATATTTAATTCTACGAGTCGATCGTTTGGAATGGAATAAGCAAAAAATAAAAATATAAGAATGCATTAATGGAAAATGTAGTCGTTTCATATCGGTTTATTTATTTTAAACGGTTTTTTTTTTTTTGTAAATAAATATTGCGCGTAGTAATTAATAATTAAAGATCAGTCTTTTAAATTAAAAAATACCATCGAGTGTTATTCAAATTATTATTTAATAATTATTATTATTATTATTTATTTATTTTTATTAAACTTCTACTCCTAAATCTTGAACTCCGGTTTCGGCTATCGGTATAAATTTATCATCTATTTGAACTAATAATATTGTTTTATCAACGTTTGATCTTTTTGCTGGATCTCCGTGATTTGGGATCCAGCGATGAACTACCTACATAAACAAATAATTAAATAAAACTTTTATGTGATAACTAATAAATTTTAAAAAACGTTTTTTAATGAATATTTTAGTAGAAAACTTATGTACGTATGACTCGACTTTAAACAATTCAAATAATTACCTCCGTCTCTTGGGTAGTTATGAGGTAACTTTGCAAAAAAAAAAAAAAAAAAAAACTAAGAAAGTAATTTAAAATTTATGATAAAATTTTCTTACTTGGCCTTCCATTCCCGCATCCGGCAACCAATCTTTCCAATATGATCTTCCTCCTTTCATTCTCATTTCTTCGTCCGGCCACAAAACATCTATTCGTCGGCCAAGATTAATCGCATCGTAAACAAGAGTCGGTTGAATAATCTAAAAATAATTTTTTTTTATAAAAAAATTTTAATCTTATTACTTAAAGAGTTAAAAAAATTTATGAAACAAATGATAACTCACTCGAACTCTCTGGTAAATTTTTTCTTTGGTTTTATTATCATCAGAAAAATTAGGTGAAGAACACACCGTCATTTTATCCCTTCCTCTCCTTTTATCTTTTTCGTCTTTTTTATCTTCAATTTTTTTATTCAAATCTTTATCCTCACGATTTTGCTTTTCTTTAAGAAATGTAAAAGAAGTATCTTTTTCGCGAACAAAACAATCGTTCTTTGGTATTTCAGTCGATGAAAGTAGTCCTAAAAAAAAAAAAAAAAATTATTTTTTATTTTTTAAAATATTTTTAATGTACGATGTAAAAAGTAATTTGCGGACCCGCCAAGCTGGCCAATGTAGCACTGCTGGGTTTTCCAACGGATGCAAAGGATCCTCTTCCGCCAACGGAACCCCTTCCTAGTGAACCTCCTCTGTTACATGAATTTAATTGAATTTGGCTAGAATCAATCGATATACTTCCAGACGTGTTATAACCATGGCCTGTTAAGACAGATTCACACAATTACTACAAGAACTTTGAGTCTCTTGCCCCTAACCACAATATTTCACACATGTACATATTTAACATAAAGTAAATTATTATTATTATTATTTTTTTTTATAAACTATTTTGTGTAAAAATTTTTTATGTTAATGATGATTTGATTAATGTTGATTAATAAAATATTTATTTTTGATTACCGGAATTGGTATTAGCAGTATTCATTGCATAAACACCTTCCTGACCAAAAACGCATCCTCCGTCCTCCCTGCTATTAACACCTCCACTTGAACATCCCTGCCTACATCTTTTTCCTATTCTTCTCCATAATTTCAAAGCAAAATTTCTTAGTTTTTTAAAAGAAATGGGTCCTCCGAGAATACTTGTATATTGTTTATTTGTATCTGAATATGATGTTGTAAGAGGAGAAACGTAAATTGGATAACCGATTGGTTGATCGCAAGAAGAATTAATCATGTTGCGCAAAACCTATAAATTTAAATTACTCGTTCACATCTTTAAAATTAAATTTTTATCATACAAATATAAAAAAATTTTGAACCACATATTTTGAATTTATAATTAAACCCATAAAAAAAAAAAGTAAATGGGAAAAAAAATTTTTGGTCAAAAAAATTGCCAAGCAAAGTAATATTAAAGAAGCGGGAATATAATTCCTTACTTGTTTTGCGTTTTGAATGGATCCTCTTTCAGGATTTCTGTTTCTTAGAAAAACTAATTCCTGCTGTTGTCCAGCCCATAATCCTCTTACGCACTCTCGATTCAGTTTTATAACTCGAAAACTAAGAAATCTTTTATTCAACATAATTATCTTGTATTCGTCAGATCCGTCGTCTAGCACATGCCTTAAATAAATAATCATTATGTTCAATTAATATTTTTTTTAAATCATTTATAATGTGTATTATCAAATGAAAAAAAAAAGGGAATTAAATCAAAATTTCACAAAAATTCCCGTTTAGCATTGCAAAATTGAATAAAGATATGGAGATGACGCAGGAGAAATAATTTTCGTTTTAATAATTTAAACACACCTTAAAGCTAACAATGAAGGAGTTCCGGATAACACGGCACTTCTCCAAGCCGGATCTCCCTCGTGAGAAATCACTAAATTTTCCTCGTGGCTGGATATGGCTTGGAATAATGCACTCGGATCTTCATATTCTTCAGGGCTCATGAAATGATCTTGATGTAATTTCAAACTCATTCTCACACCAGGAGCGATTACTTTTAACAAAAATTCCATGTCTACAAATATCCAATCGTCGCGAGCGCTCGTTATTCTAAAATCTCCTTTGAAAAGAGCGTGTAATCCGTATAGGAAAAATTCGACGCTGGATACCGTGTTGTGTGAGGCCGTACCAAGAGTTCTCCGACCGATTAAACTTAATGCCAAACAGAGTAATATTAAAGGCGTCTCCAATGCTTTATCGAGAAGCTAAAATAACAGTTATTTTATATAAGTGTATTTTTAAACGAATTATTTTTCCAATTATTAAAAATTAAAAATCTCATCAAATTTTGAATACAACAGGTTTAAATGATAAGTCGTATGTATAAAAATGAATACTAGGAAAAAGGTTAATTATAACTTATAATTTGCAGTCAATCTATTATTAATTATGAAAACATACCTTTTCCCGTTTTGAGCAGCAATAGTGAATCCATTCTAAATAAACGTTACAAAAGGAATTTTTTGTTATACCCTCGGCGTGAATATCAAAATCTTGATCGATGTTTATATTAAACACTGGATCCAAATCAACGAAAGACCTATCGGCAAACGTTTCTAACGCCTTAAGAATTGTCGGATTTGTTAGCCAACTTTGAAGTTTATGAGAACGAATGCAGAAATAAATTATACTCTAAAAATTCAAATTTTAATTTCATAAAATTAATAATTTTTTAAATGCTATATATATGTATGAATAAGAAAAATAAAATTTTCAATTCTGTTAAAAAAACTTCATTTTTCACAATTAATAAATGTATTCAATTAATTATTTTGTAAAATTTTATATTTATCACGTTTATGAAAGGAAAAAAAACCAAAACAAACCTTAACGTAATATGTGACCAAAACCTTTCTAAAATCAAAGACTTGCAATGTTGAGGCGGCAGAATTATCAGATATAGAATAACCTTCTAGAACATATTTAGAAGCTGTCACTTCCCATGCTAACCATCTTTTAGAAAAAGCTGCGTTGACACTTAAAAGATGCGGAATATGACACGGATCACAACAACAGCAACCTATGGTTTTAACACAAATCAAAACCAATCTTTAAATTTATTAAAAAATTAATTTTTTAATAATAACTTATTCAATAACTTACCATCGTCATCTTCAACTCGTTCTGATATAGCTTCTACCTCACGTTGCTGGCAATAAGTTCCTCGAAATTCGAGTCCACGCATTTGAAAAGTGACCAATCCATTTCCAATTTCAATAATGTGAACAAGACAGTTAAGATAATCAGATGCCAAAACGAAACAATCTCCTTGGCTTACAAGTCCCCAACGTCCTGTAACAAATATACATATATATGTACATAATAATCTTAATTGTTTTTTTTAAAAATAAAATTCAAAAAATTATTTAAAATAAGAAATATTATAAATTTTAGGAGTTACTTTAAATATGTTACGAAAATTTTACAATTAATTTAAAATTATTATAAAAAAAAAAAAAAAAAAGAATACGATGATTATTTTTTTTTTTTTCTAAATATTAAATGCATTACACGAAGCATTTTAATTTACAATCACAACGTAAGCTGAAAAAAATGTTAACAAATTATTAAATTAAACATGATAGGTTTATGAATTAAAAACTAAAATAGTGAACGACATAAATAAATAATTATTGATTCTTAAATAAAAATGAATTACAAAAAATAATATAAAATATTTACCCAATTCCAAATCTCCACATAAACTATGTTGTAAAGATCGGGTCAAGTGTTCATAAAAAATTGAATTTAAATTGTTGTCATCCGATCCTAAATTCCTGTCTATGTGACACGACATCCTTGTATTAGAGTGATCAACTCGCTTTGTGTTATAATCTCTTTCCCAAAATTTTATTGGACGAACGTAAGAAGTAAGAAATATGGCACTACCTAAAAGTTAATTTTAAAAAATAATTTTTATTTCCTTTTAACAAAACATCAAAAAAAAAATCACATGATAAATTACCAAGAAATGGATTTAAGGGAGCCGAAAGAAATGCCGAGAGAGCAGCTTGAATGAAAAGCATAGCCGAATGAGGTACTGAAAAAGGTTGAGCAAATGCATGAAAAGCTGATCCCCATGTGATTTGCCAAGGTGCGATATAAATTACAACAAACTGAATCTGGTCGAGAGAAAAAAAAAAAAAAAAAAATTTCACGATTTTCATACTATATAATGATTCTCAAAAGTAAAAAAAAAATAGTAAAATGGTTGTTTGAATCAATCTTAACTCTAACAATCTTAAGTTTTATATACCTTCAATAAAAATTCGTAAACTTTTGAAAATACTATGCCAGTAAAAAAGTAATCAACCAGAAAAGTTTCACTGTACGAATAATAATCGAATTCAAAAATCAATGCTGAAAAAACAACAATGAGATATTGTTGAGAAGTGTTAGAAAATGCACTTCGCATTATTTTTAATCCGCATATGCTAGTCACTAGAGCACCCAGAGGAACGCCAAACTTATGGCAAATTCTAGGTCCATCATAAGTTAAAGTTGCTAAAACTAATACGGGATACAATAAATTTTTTTCCAAAAAGCACAAAACGACGTATGTCTGCAACAAAATCATGTAAAAGTTTTTCAATAAGAAAAAAACAAAAATTATTATTAATTTTAAACGTAAAATATTCACCTCTTCAAACCACATAACTCTCGCTGCTTTTCTTACTTCAAACTGAGCATGTTCGTAACCCTTCAAAACCGGCTTCGCTAAGCATAGCCACGGAAGATGTTTTCTCATTTCCGGAACGACATAATGAAGAACAAATCCAGAGCACCCCGCAATGCCCCATAATATCTAAAAATAATCAATAATATAATTATAACATAATAAAATAGCATTCATATGTATTTTTTAAAGACAAATAAAAATATAGATATTACGCACAGGATTTAAATCCGGTTGTAAAATAGTGAAAAGAGTGGAGCTGTGGATTCCAAATACTAAAAGACCCACGAACGTACAAATTATGGCATCATTTTTCAATCGAGCATTTACAGTTCGTTTTAGCTTTTGAGGAAGAGGATCGACAAATTTGTCTTCTTTATCACACTCTTTTTTCTCACCGGAAATTACAAAACTGTTGCAACTGCTATCGACATTTTCTAAAGTTGCAGATGAGTTTGATCTAACATTATCGTCTCTTATTTTTAATATTTCATTGGATGAAGGATTACTGCTGAGTAATAGATTATTTTGACTGTTTCGATCCTCGCTTTTCAAAGAATCGTTAACTGATTTTTCGAGTTTGTTTTTACTTAATTCACTTTCCATTTCATTCAAATGAATTTTATGTTGGAGTTCATCTTGAAAAAAATATTCCTTTACTATTTCCCAAAATAAAGTTGGGTTACTCGTCGACCGAGACAAATGGTAGCTAAACGAAATTAAAAGACCACAAAAAATAGAAAATAAAATGTGCTGACTCGTTTTAGTTTCGCTTAAGGCACCGTAAGCAAAACCGTATATAAATGCGGAGACAATAATACTGCGAATCACACAATAAATTGCTCCGACCAAACTCGACATCGCATTGCCTCCAAACAAATGCACATCCAGCTGTTCTAAAAAATACAGGCAAAAGGTATTGATTTGAGGGAAAAACCCCAAAGTGAACAAAACGGGGAAAAACAAGAGTAAATTAACTAAACAATCTCGAAAAATTCTTATAATATTGCCATTATCGAATTGAATACTGTAAAATTGAAATGATAAACTTGTTTTTTTATTAAGATAAGCGGTCAATGATAGAATTAATAATGAAATAAGGCAAAAATAAATAGCTCGAGAAAATACAACGATTCGATTGTAACCGTGAGTGGGAGACGTGGCATCGGGTTGAACGCTTTTCAATAATGAATATTGACATCCTGCCAAGGCAAAACAAAAAAGAAATGCAAAAAAATCGCGATAAAATCCATAATTCAACAATATTATGCCGCATAGAGAAACTAAAATTGACAATAACAAAGAGATAAATATTTCGAAAAAAGTTAGATTTCTATCTAAAAGAGCCATTAATTCCAATCTGTCGAATCGAATTTTAACATAATTCCACGGAGTGTAATGAAATTTATAATATCGTTTTGGTTTTCTTTTAAGCTCCACATTCACATTCATGTCGTCAAAATCAAAGAGCCACAAATGATTTGAATCGCTTTCCTCTTCGCTTATTCTTTGAATCGGTCCAACAGGTTGAGAATTTTCCAAAATTTCTGTCCTATCGAAAGATGTACTTTGTCGATGGTTATCGGGAACAAAGTCGTCGGCCGTCAATCCTAACGGTGAACATACAGGTCCTACGCTATTCACATTTTCTTTTTGATGAAAATTGATTTTGACTATTTCTTCGTTTAAATTATAATTTTTCGAAACAGTTTTATCAGGCAAATTAACTGCGGCGGCGGTTGAGGTTGCGATTGCGGTATCTACGGAAGAATCGATGGGGTGGTATTAGCTCCAGAAAATTAAAACATTGTCGCAACAAGCTTATTAAAACTATTAGCATTACCAATGTTATTGTTTTTGTCATTGTTATTATTATTATCGTTGTGAGAAATTTCGCCAACATTTGAATTCAGATTTGAATTGATTAGATATTTGGTTGAGTTTGAACAGCTAGCTACACTTGTAATATTCTGTTGTTCTGCACTAAATCGTTGTTTATTATTAGAAGAAAACGATTTATGTCCATTTTTTTCTAATGTACAATTTGTTTTATTTAAATAAGATTTACTTTTACTAGGAGGGGAACATTTCATATTTAAATGGCAATTAGATTTCCAAACATCCAGTAAAATTTCCGATTTTGGAATGTTTCTGGTTAAACAATGCTCGTTATCAATTGTTTCCTGAGCAGAAGACGAACTTTCACCTATGTCATCGATCGTATGACTACAACTGGAATTTTTAAATGTGCCTTTGAAATTGTTAAAACACAAATAATTTGTTCTCTCTAAACCCTCGTCGAAAACTAAATGACTTTCATTTTTAAATGAAGACATGTTTTGATCACTATCATTACAATTAGATTCATTGGTTTTAAAGTCATTCATATTTTCGCTAATTTTAGATAAAAAATTTGAAAATTGGCATAAGTTTGTGTTTTTATTTTCAAATTTGTTCATGCACTTCTCTTTTCCGTCCTAAAACGATAATAACGGTTTTTAATTATGTAAAAGTAAAATGAACAATCTAGATTAATAATAATAATAAGTAATTTTACCCAGAGACACGGTAGAGAGCTTATTGAAATGTCGGTACTCAAGTTCGAAGTGTTCGTTTCTGAATGTGCATTCATAATCGAAGCAAAAGCCGTCAAAGGAGTAGAAACTCTTGAAGACCTACAAATTCTAAAATGTATCGAAATAATTAAAATAAGGTAAAAATAACATTAATTTCAATTGTATAAAAAATTTCTTAAATAATTTTCACTGATTGTTACCTTTGTCCCCTGTTAAATCTTCGACTTCTTTTTTGCCTGTTTCTATTAACATACTGCAACATTTTTTGTTCTCTCATATCCGCCCTTTTTTTCGTGGTACCACCACCACCCTGCGCAGTAGGCATTGCGTATCCATTGGAAATATCCTTTCTTGTGGCTAAAAATGCCGTTAGCAAAGGAGATGCAGGTGGATGGAAGGAAGAAAGTAAAGAACTTAAAGGAAGTAAAGAACTGAGTTCCGTTGTTGAACTTCTTGACGAATCATAAGTTTCTTTCAATAAATCATTTCTATCACACAAATGCCTGTCACATTCAACGCTCAAATTTTCGTTCTCAATCTGAAATGAAAAATATTTCATTTTTGAACTTGGTAGTTTAACAAAAAAAATTAAAATCAAAAAAGAATGGGTTTGATATTCAATACCTGAAAATTAACATTATCTTCTTCCTTTATCGTTTCTTGTTCACTTTTGATCGTAGGAATTTTACAAGAAAATGAGTTTTTGATTTTTTTGCTTTCTAAAGGATAATCGTTACTTGAAATTAATCTTTCATTCGTTAATAAATTTTTTGATGAGTTTTTTTTTCGACAATTTTTCCATTCCATTTCTGTTGCTTGCTTAGCCTTTGGTATAGCGCCTTGCTTGTGAAAAGGTTTTTTATATTCGAGTTTTTTACTTTCATTCGGACCTACCAATAATAATACTTTATAAAAATACATTTTAAAAAATTTACAAATCTCAAAAGCTTTTTTTTATATAAATAAATATATATATATATATATATATATATATATATGTGTGTAAATAAAATTTGATGCTTGTTATATTTAAAACTTACCCTGATCTTTATTTTCTTTGTCTTCGTAATTTTCAAAAAGCCAACTTAAATCAACGTTGTCGTCTATTTTTGCAATTTCTTTTTTTTTAATTAAAATATCTTCCGCACTTCGTGAATTTATTAAATATGTCTTTTGATTTTTGTGACGAAAACACATTTTTCTAGTGTCCACATAAACTAGGCAAAAATCACATTCACTTATATTTTTTAAATGTTTGTTTTCTAATCGATTTTTAAAATCATTTTGATCTACCTCATCATTTTTATTTGATAATAGTAAACTTTGGTTTTCCGCAGAGTTCAATAACGAACGACATTTATTTTCTTGACTTAATAAATCCGAGTTTTTTTTACTACACAATTTTAAAGAGCAATTAGACAGTTGTTCCTCTATAAAACAATTACATAATTTTTCACTATTAGTTTCCTTTATAGCCAAACAATTTGATGAATGGGTAAAGCACTTATTGCAGGATTCCAAATTCAGTAAAAGAGGACTTTGAGATCCGCAGTTATCGCTAGAATCCTCATCGGAATCCGTTGGTGATTTGAAATGACACTTTAGACCATCTTCAATTGGGATGCCCACATTAAAATTACTTAAAATTTCTTGGCTTTTGCAAGTTGTCTTTGTTGGCTTGGTATTTATTATTTTTTGAAAATAATAATTCTGATAATTCTGATTAAAATAATCCGGCAACGACCCTAAAATTCATGACTTGTGTAATTATATTGCATCAAATAAAATAAATAATTTTAAACAACTAAAATTAGTATTTTTCAATTGTTTAATTAAAAAAATGTCCTGCTGCCTATAACTGATTTCTCATCATTACCTTCAGTAAGTTTTTTTAAATTATCATGTGTTTCATCAATGTCATAACAATTTTTTTTATCAGCTACGCTTTTACTTAAATTTTGTTGTTTCCAATATAATAAACCTGCAGTCAAAAAATTAAAAAATCAAATTAACAAAATATAATATGATTTCAACAATGCTAAATTTTTCAGAGATTAATTAAAAAACAAAAATATTTTCAAAGTATATATACCTTTTCCTGATGATGTGTCACTGACATTTTGCAAAGGTGTTTCCAGAGACCCTGCATTGACAATTTTACTCTCGTTTATACATGAATTCAAGAGTGAATTTTCAAAGGAACATTTTGGGGGTGCATCATCTGATTCGAGAATTCTATTTTTTTTTAAATAATCGGTATCATGTTTTGGATTTTCACAAAAATCTATAAAACAGTTTTTACCAGTATTATCACAACAGATATAACTACTTTGAGAATTTGCTGATATTTTTTTTATATTACACATGTTGATTGTATTTTCTTTAAAATTTGATATCTGGCAGTCTGATTGTGACATTTTGTATTCCTTAGATAATTCATCGAAACTTTTTTTTCTGTGTTTTGCAATGTAACAATCACTTTGAGACATTTCAAAATCATCTCCTTCAAAATCCGAAATCCTTTCATCATTTTTAAAACTTAAATTGTTATTCTTAGATTTATGCTTATGTCTTGAAATTGAAAGCTCTAAATTTAACGGCTGTGGAAATTCGACCAATTGATCTTTAAATTCTTCTTTCAAAATTTGAATGTTATTTTCAATGTTGATATTTTCCTGGAATTCTTCCAATGACTCGGAACTATTTTTTCTGTGAAAATCTACTTTAAAGTCTATAGTGTTTGGTGTTGGTCTAGCTGAGCACTCTGATGAAATCCTCCTTTCATCACTTGCATTTTCACAAACTGAACCACTACTAATTAAAGTTGGTACTTTTTTTTTACTTAAAACTTGAAGTTCAATCCCTTCATCTTCACTAAAAAAAAAAAAAAAAAAAAAACAATTCAATATAATGAAATATTTACACACCATCATTAAAACACAAAGCAACACAATACAAAAATCAAAAAGCATACACAATATTCTTCATTTTTAAAATTCTAGATCTTTTCTTTTGGCTTTCAGGTAAATCTTCACCAGGTAACATTTCTTGTACACATTCAGCAGAGTCAAAAATTTTGTGAAGTCTGTGATTTAAAAACTTTAGCACAGTAAAAATACTTCCGATCAATCCGCAATAGAGACTGTAGATAACAACACTCGGAACGAAATACTAAAACAAAATATTTTAACTGTAGTTACCTTTCATCTAGCTAAACCACTGAAAATTTTAGATATTAATAAATGAAATATTTACACACGTAACACAAGTCTCATTGTTTTATTCATTAAAATTTCAAAGCTGTAGTGTAATTTTTAAAATTTTGTTATGATTTTAACGATAAAAAAAAAAAAAATGAAATTATTGTGATTGATGAAAATTAAAAACAGTCGTACTTACTAAATGTAAAACGAAAGGAAAGCAGAGAAGAAAGAGCCAAAGGTATAAGTGAAAAGTGTTGCAAAATACATTTTGACGAAGGTCATAAAACCAGCCCCCTGTAAGAGATGCCCAGACTCCTTGTTGAAGAATTTCAAGCGTATGAGATTCCATTTTTAAAACTGAACATTTTTAAAATCTGATCATTTAAAAATTTTATTAACGTTTCATGCTAAACAGAACATGTTCGGCCATTTTAAAAAAAATGCTCACGTGATTCTATCACGTCAAAATTTCAATCCGACACCTTTAGTGTTATGTAAAGATCTGTCAGTGTAACACAATTTTATTGGTACTAGTGCTTTAACCTAACATCTAAAACAAATTAATATGAAATAGTATTGGATAGAACATTATTTGTATCGCACGTAAAATACAAGCCTCTTGTAAACCATTAATATTTTTCTCACAGTAGAATAGAATTACGAGTAGAAGTGACGCAATGTACGACATTAAAATGGCAACCGTGGTAATTTAGAAACAAGACAGCGTCTATCTTTTCTTAAATTAAAAAATCAGTGTTTATTATTTGTGTAATAAAAACTAAGATTAAAAAAATGGAAAACCCTGAAGGAGTGTTAAATTTATTAGATGAATTTGCCAAGTTAAAGTCGAAAGAAATCCCTCACGACTTGGAGGAATATTTATCGTACGTTGCGACCTCGGGGGATCCGGTTTATCAATGGTCATTGATTAAATCTTTGTATCGGCAGAAGCTAATAAACGTTATAACCGAATTTTACGAGATGTGCCCAGTAATGGATATTCCACGATGTCCAAATGTAGATCCTTTCAATTACGAAACCATGAAGAACAGCTTATTAAAACGGTTAGATTCGTTTTCCAGTGCTCCGTTTACAATACAACGATTATCAGAGTTACTAACGACACCGAGAAAGCAATACAACCGCGTTGATAAGTTTATGCGTGCTGTGGAAAAAAATATATGGGTAGTAAGTACGAGAGAACCTGGATCTCGAGACCCGATCAACTCCCAAGAATCATCAGCGAATATGGTAAACGGGGTAACAACACGTGTCTGTGTCACAGTAAAACATCCTAAAAAAATCAAGTCCATTGAAGAACGAATTAAAAGGTATTTATTTATGTTTTGTTATTGAAATTGATTTTTGCAATGAGAATCTTTTAAAATTTACTTTTCGGTATTGAGCATTTGGCAGTTTATATTGTTTTGTGCATCATTTAATATCAAATTTTTTATTTTTTTTTTTAATCCAAGACAGAAATTTATGATTTTGCCATTGTTTTTAACTGTATAATTAATTTTACCATAATTGTTTTAGTGAAATTTTAAATTTTGTTAATAAAAAAAAAAAAGGATACATTTACCAGTGTGGACACTTTCCTGTTTTGACTCTGGAATGTAAGTTTATTTAAGGAAAATTATTTGAACTATGATATAATTTTCAGCGGTCATCCTCAATTAATTGATGATGAGGAAGAAGAGGAGGAAGAGGAAGAAGATGTCGATGAGTATGAACAAATGGAAGAAGAAAATAATCAAGAAGTGATTCAAAATAATGAAACAGATGATTCTTCTTTACAATGCACATCTGTAAAAGATCTAATCGAAAAATATGAAAACGGTACAATTTTTTCAAGCACAGAAGAAGAAAAATCTGAACAATTTGACGAATCAGCTTCTACTCCAAATATAAATTCTGATACTTCATCTTCTACCAGTGCTGTACCACCGACCACTACAGCTTCAGAAACAAGTTCCATAAATTCCGAGACCACCTCTAACTCGACCACAATTGATATTTTATGCAAGGATTCTTGTGTTCTATCTACAAACATAGTATCAGACTCTAATGAGACAGTTGAGGCAAAAGAAACATTGGCGGAACTTGAAAGTTTAAAGGATTCTATAATACATTTACCTGATTCATCAGTTGAAGAAGAGAGTAATAAGGCAGTTAGTGCATCCAAACTGATTTTATCTTCCTTAGAAAATAAATTTGAAGATGAAAATTCTGATAATTCATCATTTAGCACCAATTTAGAAATAGCTGCGGATGATTCAACAGTTATAGACCCCGTCTTATGTGTAAATTCAGATTCTCTTACAATGAAAGAAAACATATTGCAAGCCACTGATGAAACATCTTCAATAAATGCAAGTATGTCTATAGACTCCTATGATAATAATGTTCTCGAAACACAAACTGATACTATACCTGATCTCCAAGAAAATGTCGACAATGATGTGAAAAAATGAAAAATTAATGAAACCCTTAGAAAAAAATCACTTTTAAGCACATTGATTGAATAATTACAAATTTTTTTATAACGGCTTAATAATTATTATTTAATAAATTAAGGCTGACTCAAGAAATTAAATAATTTTTTTTTTTTTTTTTTTTTTAAAGTAATTAAATATTTTTTATAACAAAAACCACAAATTTGTGATAGGGGTTAGTTTTATTTAAGTGAAGCATGAAATCACATTTTTGTTTTGTGCCACCTATTTAAATATATTTTATACATTACACGAGTGGAATGATTATTTGCAAAATAAACAATTACTTAAAAACATTTTCGGGCCTAATTTTATTTTTAATGTTGTCGACGACAACAATTAAAAAAATAATATAAAGTTTTATATCTTTTAAAATTAAACGGTTACTTCTTCTCTTAGCATTTTACTATTCCCTATTCTGTTTGATGTGAAACATTTTAAATATTGAAATTTACATTATTTTATAAGATTCGTTTTATAATAATTTTTTTTTTTTTTTTTTTATCGAAAAACACAATAAGTATTTTACAGTTTTCTAGGCTTGGTCAATGAACACTATTGAATTATTTTTTAATAGAGCCACAAATAAAAATAAATAAAAAAATTTATTTGAAAAACAAATAATATACACCCACATCAAAAAAAACAATAACATTAAAAAAAATTACGTGTGTATATATATGTAGCGAATGTCCAAAAATCACATTACAAAAATATAAAATTTTTTTTAGTCATTAAAAATGGCGTTTTCAAATTAAGTACTAAATTTTTAAATGCCGTACATTCATGTAAAAAAAAAAATTTTTTTTTTTTTTAAATATATATATATATATAATACTGACTAAACTGTTTGATTTTAAACGGAATGTTTTAAAACTATTCATTTTATACCTTAATTTTGTATTTTAAAATATTGAGTACTTTTTTTTTTGAACCATTATTGGTTGAAATAATTTAACAAATAATATCAATACACTATCACGCACGCAAACAAACACACACACTCGCACGCACATACGTACAAAAATATTTATAGAAAACATTGGCAAGGCACAAATTTATAGATATTATTTTTTTTTTTTTTTTTTGTGATGTAGATTTGCTATTTCAGTTTTCATATTTACACTAAAATAAATATTAAATTAAATTAAATAACGATTTTTTTTTTCTAAAAATAAAATTGATTAGAAAAATTTAATTCAAATTAAATAAAAATCTCGAGACAAAGAAAACATTGAATTGAATCAACATAGGATTATCATATTTAAAACATATAATTATTTAATTTAATTTAATGAGTAAAATTTAGAAATGATCAAGAGATAGTAAAAATAATTAAATAAAATTGCACCTATAAAAACCTATTTAAAAACATGTCCTTAACGTAACAATGATGATTAAACTCATGCAATTTGAAAACTGTATTTAATAAATATGTTTAAAAAAAAGTAACATTCGCATTTACTTTTACTACCAAACCATAAATAAATTCGCGGCCATTATAAAAATAAATAAAATAAACTTTATTTACATTTATTATTTCCTATTAAAAATATATATGTATTTATATATATTATTTCATTAAAATAAAAAAAAAAAATTTTAATTATTTCTATACGAAATCGGTTTTGAATAAATAAAATACTGAAATAAAAAGTATATGATGCACAAAATAAAACGAAATATTAAAATTTAAGTTAATCAATCATTTCACGATGTGTATAAATGTTTAACAAAATATACTTAACAGTTATCTAAGGTAGATTATAATTATTGTACGCTAAACTTTGTTTAAATTTGATTCATTGATAATTATTATTAGATTACAAAAAAGTTATTTAAAAAAATACTCTTAACAATTACTATGTCTGGAACCTTTCATAAGAGGTACCAGCAAGGCAGGTGGTCCGGCCTGCCTCAAGAAAGGATGTTGTAATAATTCAGAAGCAGTTGCTCTTTGCGCTGCATCTCTTACTAACATCCTTTCCAAAAAACCTTGTAATCTTAGGGAAACCTGCGATTTTAAAATTTAAAACAATTTCGTATAATAAAACTGTTATTAAAAAAAAAATCAAGTAACATGGTACTTACTTTGTGCGTATTTTTTAATTTTGGAGGTGGCATGTCGCGTATTCTTCTCATTGCTTGCAATGGTGGTTCATTAAAAAATGGTGGCTCACCATCGACCATTTCTATTACCATAATACCTATTTTACAAAAGACAAAAAAAAAAAGTTATTTTAAATCTAAATACATTATTATTATTATTATTATTATATTAATTAATTATATTTAAGACAAAAATTTTTTTATTAAAAAGAGAGTAAAATAAAGGAAAATTTAATTTTAAAACACAGTTTTTCTTTTTTTCTTTTTAAATCAAAATAATTTTTTACTGTGTATTAAATTATAAAAATTTACTTTAAACCATTTTCGGAATTTAAAAAAAAAAAAAAAAAAAAAAATTTTTTAGTTGGTTTTTTTTTTTTTGCTTGAATAAAAATTACCTAATGACCAAATATCTACTTCAGGACCGTAGGGTAATCTGGATATCACTTCTGGAGACATCCAATAAGGAGTTCCTACAAGTGATTTTCTTCTAGGCAATTCTTGGGAAACTTGAGCACAAAATCCAAAGTCTGAAAGCTTGACCTAAATAATAAAAAAAAAAAAAAAATCAAAAAATTAATCGATATTTATAGAAAATTATGAATTACTAAAAGCTAAAACACATAAAATTAATAGCCAAGCTAAAACCATTTAAAATTTATAAACTTAATTTATTTTAAAAATTTTTAATCTAAAAAAAAATTTAGCATGTGTTCATCAACACATTGATGGAATTTAGAACTACGATCGTTAATTTTAACATCAACAAATTTGGGTCGAAATAAAAAATTTTTTCGAATTTCGTCTGGCGGATCCGTAAAATACCTTATTTTTAAAATGTATTTGAAAAAAAAACAAGGTAATAAATATAGTTAAAAATTTATACCCTTCCGTCGGCAGCAAGTAAAATTGAATCACTCTTAATATCGCGATGAATAACGCCCTGAGAATGAAGATAAGCCAATGCTCTTAAACACTGTTTGCATACGGTAGCTATTTGTTCCTCGTCCATCCTAGCATGTGTTACTATGTCTGTCAAGGCTCCACCTTCAAGATATTCCATGACCACCCATAATTCGTCATTAACCAAAAAACTATCATACATTTCAACTATGTGAGGATGATGATAGTCTCGCATAATAACAACCTGAAATAAATCCATTTTTTAATTTTCAGACAATAATAGATTTGAAAACATAAATTTAAACAAAAAAAATCTTTTTTTTTTTTTTTTTTAAAACAATAAAAGGTGATATTTGTCATACCTCATTAAAAAGTAATTCTCTTCTTTGTTGCTTTCGTAGATCCATTTTTTTCACAGCTACCTGTCTGTTTGTCACTCTGTCAAAAGCAATACAAACTGTTCCCGTTGAACCTTCTCCAATTTTCATAAATTCTTCTAAATTTTGTCTGGGATCACCGTGACTCACAACCATTTGTAAAGCAGCTCGAAACTAAAACAGTTGTTACCATTTATTAGAGAAATATTAGAAAATTTCACAATAATATTACATGTACTATTTTTATAATTACCTGCTCATGAGTTAATCTTTGCTGATCGTGATGATGTTTCCCATCTGAATTACTTTGTTTTAATAGTGGACCAGAGGAAAAAGAAGGTGCACTTGTTTTGTTACTATTGTGGTTTTGATCAGAAAGTGGCTGCTGTCCCACATTTATATTTTGTACTCCCGTCATAAGCTTCTGTTCAAAATTTGTTGATTGCAAATCCTGATTTCCCTAAATTAAATAAAAAATTAAATTTAGACTTTTCGTTAATCTGCAAATTATTTTTGAGTGAAAAAAAAAAAAATACCTTAGTTAACTGGGGAGAAATGCATGGTTGATGTGATGTGGTGGTTCTCGTTTGCAATTTTGCAGCACCTGTTGGCAAAATCTGAGAATGTCTCGGTCCTCCGGAGGTTGTCAATGCAGACGGATATGCGACATCATTAGAAGCGTGGGATAAAACTGACTACGAAAATAGATAAGTGATAGATAACTTAATGCAGTTATTCTTATAGATATTATTAAATAAATACATTTTTTATTTTTTTAAACAGAAAAATATTTTAGGGGGAAAAAAAAAAAAAAAAAAATTTAGTAAAAAAGTTCACAGTCACTAATAATGTTTTCCAAAAATTTAAAATTAATCTTCACCAAAACACGTCGATAATAGTAATAATTGAATTTTTTATTTATTTTATTATTTAAAAATTCCTATTAATTTTATTTTAATTACATTTTTTAATGGTAACAAAAAAAAAAAAAAGTCTTAATACTTATTAAATAATAAATAATACTAGGCAATTATAGACAAAAGTGTTAGATATTTGTTTTCATTCTAACCTGATTAGATTTTCCATTAGACTGAGGATACATATTATACATCATTCCTTTCACAAAATCAGTGCCATCTGAATTAGGACTTGGAGAGCCCTGGCTAGGCAAGGGACTTGAATTAACTCCTTCTACATTTTGTTGCGATCCAAGAACTAATCCTCCGCCTATCCACTCTTGCGAAGCTGAATCCACTTTCATCTTATTCTCCTGCAACAAGCCATATTTTAAAATGTTTTACATTTGAGTTTATTCAAAATAAAGGCTCCATTAAGAAAATTTAAATTTAATTTCAAGTCTCACATAATTTATATCTCTTTTTGAATTTGAATATTGAATAGAGGCAATGGGTGCAATGGGTCCATTAAATATTTCCCCCTCAGGAACTGAGGGTGGCAAATTGGAATTGTGTTGAAAGTCTCCTCTTCTAAATCTTGGAGGACTAGAAGATCTTAAACTATTACTTCTTGCCACATTAGACGTTTTAGGAATGCCACTTTTTAAATCAACAGGTATTTTGTTATCACCCCTGACTATAGTCTGAAAAAAAATGAGGTAATTAATGTAGTTTTTTAACAACATTTTTAAAAAAAATTTTTAATTTAATGCACATCAATGCTTAACATAAAGCAAAACTTAAAAAAAAAAAATTTAAAATAAATGCTGATATATATTTAATTTTACAATTAATTAAATAATAATAGTAGCAAAATTTATTATTAACAGATTTTATTTTAATCATAACAAAACATTATTGTGGGACGAAATAAAATTATTTATTTGCTCTACACTATTTATCGCAATATTTTTGGTAAAAAAAAAAAAAAAAGATTTCTGGAACATGTTTTCCCTATAATACAATTTAATTACATGTGTTTTTATTTTTTTAATCCTAAATAAATAAATAAATTAAAATAAATCTTTTTTTACATCCATTTCATTTTCATCCTTCAAGTATTATAGTGGGTCAAACTTTTCTAATACTAGGTTTTTTAGGACACTTTCTTTTATCCAAGTTTTCCTCATATTATTGACAATTTTGTTTTACTTGAAAGTGTTCCATGCCTTCAATTCAAAAACTCTACAGTTTTATTTAGGTATTTGAGAATATAAGAAGTTTTAAGGATTTTCAATATTCATTATCCCTTAAAAAGCAGAAAATAAATGTACTTACTTTTAAATCTAATATTTCTGTCGGTGTTATTTCAGATGGATCCACCAATGGTAAAGGGCGGTTACTACTCTTAAGTATTTGATTATTTCCAACTATGCTTGCCCACTGCAGAGGGAGGCCAACATACTTTCCTTCCCTTTTATCAAACCCAGTGTGAACACGATGTTCAAAGTTTGTAGGAGGTGAAATTTGCGGTTTCTTTTTCTTTTTAGAAAACATTGTACACAGTTTATATCAAATAAAACTCAATAATATTAAAATATCATTTAGTATAAAAAATATTAAATTTTTGTAATTAGCATAATAAAAAAAAATCGAGTGTTAATTATTAAGTTTCATTTATTTTATATTTTAAAAAACAAAAAAAAATTCTTCATTTCACTTTTAACCTGTAATTAAGTAAAAGATAAAATTAAAACATTTTTAATAAGAAAAAACATTAGATATCAAATAATCACCAACATTTACTACTATGTCGAAGTCACACTTTATTAAAGTGCAACTTTAAAATATATTTATTTAACAATAAAACATTTGAAATATGACGTACGACCTAAATGTAAAATAAAACGTTAAACTTTATTAAAGCAAATTGAATATTTAAGAGGACAACGTAAGAAAACAACAAACTTCCACCATGTTATATTCTTTCCTCCTGGCGGAAAACATGTGTACTAACGAATAACGGAGAACGAATGAGAATTTTAAATTAGAGTAAACAGTTCTCATAAATATTATTATTTAACAATTATTTCAATCGAAATTAAAATGCAAATTTTTCACCAGTCATTTTTTTATTTTTTTTTAATTTTAAATAAAAGTATCACTGATAAAAATCTTTATTTTTTTTTTATTTGTCAAAAAAAATAATTTTTTTTTTTTTTTTTTTTTCGGGGAATGAACTTTGTGTAATTTAACCGAAAAGATATTTTAACAAATTAATTTTGTTAAGTTGAATCAATCACCTAAAAATTTTCCTTAAATAGTTGATTAACATTTTTCTCAATTTATTTAAAGAATAAAAAGAAATTTTTTTTTTTTTTTTATACTATTATAATTGTTTTAGCTATACAAGTGATGCGTGATTCAAGAAATTTATTTATTTATTTTTATTTTTCATGAGATCGTACAAAATGAAAAAAATGAAACAAAAATGTATTACAGAAATTTAAGAAAAAAAAAAAAAAAATTTCAATGCAGTATTGCAGATGAATTTGATTATGAAGGTTTCTACGATAATTTTAAGCCTTGAAAAACAACAAGTTAGTTTATTTTTTGAATCAAAGTCATAATTTCAATGTGTGACACTAAAATATTCTCATCTGACTGTAAGTTTTGACTTAATATTTTTTCGAATATTTTTAAAAATTAAATTTATTGAACTAAAGTTTATGTAAAAAAATTTTTTTTTTTTTAAACAAAGATAAATAAATCGTTTGTAAAAGATTAAATGAAAATTTACTTTTTATTAGTGTCAGAAGTATCAAATAAAACAAATACCTGATTTTCATCTCATTGATTTTGATATATTGTTGACCGAATCGAAATATCTCGCAAAATCTCGTGAAAAACTCGCGTATTTGTAAATCAGTTGAATTACAAAAATATTTTCATAAACTTTCTGTATTTACATCCTAGGTAATCGAGCATTTTTACTTTTTTATTATAAAAAAAATTAAATTAAATTTTTAAAATGAAAAGTAGTATTTTAAAGGAAAAGTTCTTAATGTTCAATTTAAGAAGAAAAAAAAAAATATATATATCTAGAAAATAAATAAAATATACTCATATTGTATTGGTACATACAGATTTATGACAATAAGAAAAAAATTGTAAGAATTACAAGATAAATAGTCTTTGCTTTTATTAAATTAAATTCAAAAAATATACATGACAATTAAAAATACTTTATTTAAAATCTTTTAATCAAAAAATTTAAAGACCATCAGAATCTCAATAATATTGAAAAAATATGATTGACGATAGTTTATCGGGATAAAAATATAAAATTTTTAAAAAATGAATTAAAACAATTCAAATTTTTATTATTTACGAGAAAAAAAAAAAAAATTGTATATGTTGTGTCACTGTTTGGAGACATGTTAGGTAAAAAAGAAAAGGTGATTTGAATTGTGCGTAAAAACAAATTTTAGATACTTAATATTAGTATTTTCTAATGATAAAATTTAAAAATTTATGTATAAACATATTAAAGCTCATATTCAGAAAAAAAAAAAAAAAAACATTTCATTTCAGTCATGAAGAATCAAAAAAAAATTCTTAAGCTTTGAACAATAGAATGTAAATTTTAAATGAAGTGACTGAGAAAAACTCGAGTATTGAGTATTATTTATTGTAGTTAGTTTATCAGTAATTTTATTACAAATTAATAATAATAATTTAAAAAACTTTAAACTGTTACTCTTCCATCCCGTAGTTAGAAGGCTTTAAACCTTTTTTTTCTAACTGAACTTCATGAACCAAAATCGGTTTTTCACTTCTAGTATGCCAAACTAAAATCTGAAAATATAATTCATGTAATAAAATTATTGATATATGATAAAAAAAATTTAGAAATGTATGTTATCAAATAAAATTTTCATATTGAAATAAGCAATATTTAAAATTTCTATGATTAATCAAGTTTTTCAGTAAAAAAAAAAAATAAATATTTATCACCTTTGAGCAATTGGAGGCCATGGGTTCTAATTCTTCTCTTGTAATAAGTAGACTTAAAAAATCAGATTCTTGGAAACCTCCCTCTGAGCTGTAAGAAAACTTGGCGTCTGGTTTGCTTAAAAAATGTTTGAGCGAAACAGCAAAACCTGCCATGTCGACTGGAAATTTTCTTTCTGGGCGCCAAGCAGCATTAAAACCTACAACTTTTCCCTCTCTGACTAAGGGTTTCTCAACATATAGACCACCAACCAAACCAACGGGCCATATTGAAACTTTTTTGGTTTGTCTCATCTATAAAACGAAAAAAAATATATAATAAATTGTAATATATATTTAAAAATTAATCATAAATTTATAATGTATAGTTAAATATGTTACATAAAAATACTAATTTTTTCATTTACTATTAAGAAATACTATAGCAGTTTTATAATACTGTGTATTTTATGCCCCCATAAAACACATGGAAAAGTAATTTATAAAATAATGCAATAGATTTTGAAAAACTCCAAAACATTAAAGCATAATAAAACTTATTTAAAAATTTAAAAATCCACTGTATATAATATGCAATAATATGATTAATTAACATTAATCGATAAAAAAAAAAAAAAAAAAATATTATTATTTTTCAAATAGAATAAAAACATTTTTAAAAATAAAGGAAATTATGAGTTTTGACTTACTTTCGTGTTCAAAGGAAATAAAATATTTACAGGATGCATTATTATGTTTTCTGAGGATAAAGCAATAGGAACATGTGGGTAACTGGTAGAATAGAATTCTGAAAAAGTGTAAAAAATGAAAATTAAATTGAATAACCATGTAAGTAAATACATATAAAAACACTTTACCAGAAACAACAAAGACAAATTACCTCTTCAAATAGTTCCAATGTGTATGTGTTATCATCATCTGCAAAATAAATAATTCCTCTAATTTCAGGAGATAAATTTTTTCGAATCCATTTTAGAGCTGTGTTTCTCTGCAAAACTCCCCTTGGTTTTGACCACCTTCCTTCCTTAAAGCAAAGAAAATTATTTATTAAAAATTTCTACCAGTATCTAATTAATACTGATTAACATTTTTTTTTATTTTTAAATAACAATCAAAATACTTGTGAATGTTTTAAAACATACATTATCTTTGATTTTCCACGATGGTGGAGTAGGTTGAACCAAGTGTGTATAAGATAATTTTGAGTTTTTGAGTAGTTTAGAAACAAGGGTGGTTGCTTTAGATGCATCTTCAACTACGATCCAATGCAAGTTAGGAACCAGCTTAAAAGTATGAGTAAGTCTAATTTATAATTTTGAGAGAAATGAAAAGAAAGTTAAATAATTTTATTTAAAAATTTTCCTATGGTTTTATTATTTTTTATTTTTTATAATTACCTAGTTAATTCTGCTTTTTGAACAGGTCGTGCGTACGTCGGAGTAATAACAAATATAGTGATTTGTCCATTGTTATTAATTATTTTCATTGATTCAGGAGAAACTTCATAGACTTCGTTACTTGAGGATTTCGAAATAAGTATAATCATTCCCGTAAATAAAGCAAAAAATAATATTAGACATATTTTTTTAAATTTTAACTTATGGCTTTTTTTACCATTTAATAATTCCATTTCGTCCTCAAAAGCTAATATCAAACACAAATTACATCGATTTTATCCATTAAATAAATAAAAAATAATAATACTTTGATCTAACAAAGGTAATACGTTAAAACTACATTTTTGCGACTTGTACAGAAATAAGTAGTAATTCCAGTATTATTATCATTTACAGTGCCTACAACATAATAATTTACTCTTATGTTACATTCATAAATGTTCATTTTGTGACGCTTTACCTGTTATTTATTTGGCTTTGTTTATATATATATACAAATACATATTTATATTTTTACATTTATTACTTTCATTTTAAATTAAAATATTACAATGTGATAAAAATAAAAATATATATATAGTTTAATTTTTTTTTTTTTTTTTTTTTTTCAAAAAATGAAATATTGTTATTATTTTGATTTGACATTTTGTTATAATGATCAGTAATAAAGAAACAAAGTGCTGTTTTTCTTATTGGCAAATTAAAAAAAAAAAATATATATATATATATATCGAATGTCTCAAATTATTCAAAATTGTTATGGTGTCATTTAATCATGGCTGATCTATTCTTTTATGGGTTATAAAAAAAAAAAAAAAAAAAAAAAGAGGTAAAAATTATTTGTGATAATTAATGAAGAGAATTCGGTGAAAGAGGCCGAAAAAAGGTAATTAAAACATTGCGGATTAAAACCAACCGTTACTATTTTTTTAAATTCAAAATTGTAATTAATTAAAATTTTTAAAATCATTAAAATTATAAAATTTGCAGGTTTCGAAATAACGGTAATGGTGGCATTTCCGAAAATGGGTTGACAATGTTTGACCGCGAAGGAGTACCGGAACCAATAGTTTTGATGAATTTAGAATTTTCTAGAAGCATGCTACTGATTTTAACAAACGCATTTTTAAAAATATTTACAGAGGTAACTTTCACAATTTTATTTAATTACTTTCCCTAGAATATTTTATTGTATTATTATATATATATATATATTTTTTTTTTTTCGTTTCAGAAAAAAACTAAACGATCATTCAAATGAAAAGAGGAATAAAGCAAAGCAAGAAATGTTTGCAATAAGGAATAGCAAGAAACATCAGAAAAGTATTTTTAAAATGGTATAATGGCTTTTGAAGGAACATGTCATTTCATATAATTATTTTTTGAAATACACTCATTTTACTTGAAGTGAAATAATATATTCTAAAAATTTTAATCTTGGTTCCTTCAATGATGTGTATTAAAATTTTACCAGGTTATTGTTACTTTTTAGAAAAAACAATAGGTGAAAACTGATTTTTTTGTATTCATTAGTATTCGATAATTAAAACAATAAAATTTAATTTAAAAAAATTATTTTTTTTATAGATCAGGTAGTTTCAAAAATTACATAAGTTAGCCATTGGTAGTGTAAAATCAGCGAACATACACTTTGATGTTTACAGCATTGCGACTACATTTTTTTTTTTTTATGCTTTATCATATTTTGTCAAAATACATTTGATGGTAATTAACCTGTGGAATTGAGGAATGTGATTCAAAACTTTTTTAATTTTTTTTGAAAATTTTGAATGTTTGTAACCAAATGAAAAATTTTTAAAATCACATTAATTGATAAGTATTTGTAATATTTTAAACAACAATACTAGGGAAAAATTTTAACTTTTATTACAGATTTGAAGGAGCAATTGCAATTCATTTCTTTTTTTTGACTGTGTTAATTTTGTGTGAGCATTAAAAGATTCTGTGAAACCAAGATTAAATTGGAAAATTTTTCAATAATTAGAGTTTCCAACAGTGGAACTGGAGAAACTGATTATATTTTAAGAAATTTTATTTAAAATTTCATTTCAGTTTTTTTTTTTTTTTTTGTTGAATTCTAAATGGTAATTGCATCAAGGTAATGTAATTCACCTTTTACATTTATTTATTTATTTTTTCATTAAATAGAAAA